TAAAAATAATTTAGTTTAAAACATTTTGAGGAAGGGTGGGGTTTTTTTGGTCTATTTTTTTTCTTGGCCATCTGGGTTTATTTGAGCACAAAACCTTGTTTGTTTGTTTGTTTGTTTTTAAGGAAACCTCGCTGGTTTTAAGCAAGTACCGAACGTCTGCAGCCGATTCCCCAAATCTTGGTTTAAAAATGGCTGTAAGAAACCAGGACTCTTGTTATTCTGATGGAGTCCCAAAGGTGGTTTTTTCAAGAGGCAACTGGACGTTGTTTTTCTTTAAAGATGTTTCGCTTCTCATCCAAGAAGCTTCTTCAAGAACAAAAAAAGTCCAGTTGCCTCTTGAAAAAGCACTTTTGGGACCACCAGGACCTGGATGGCTGGAGAATCTCCATAGGGATTCTTGTCGAGTCCAATTTCTCAACGCAGTTGAAGCAAAATCACACTTTCAGAGATTGCAGAAACCTCTATTCAATATTTTTATTTCTGACCTAGCCCTCTCCCAATTAAAAGGAAGTTCGTGGCTGTCCCGTTTTCCTGTCTTTTGGGGAATGAAATGGATAAACAGGTTTATTATTTCTTAACCTCTTTTGGAGCGCACACCTAAGCATCTTTTACATCTTTAAAACCTGCAGGGAAAGTTTATTTTTATTTATTTTTTTAAAAAGGGAAACCTGAAAACAGCTAGCTCGTCCCACTTTTCTCTCTCAGCATTCCTTCTCTAAGCGATAAAGGACCCCTAACTTTTTCCTAATTGCACAATTGTAACCCTTTGCACCGGCCGTTGTTTGCTCTGCTGCATTGCATTCCTAAACAAAAGCGCAAGAGAAGGGGGGAAAAGTGTCATTTTATGGGGGGAAAAAAACAAAACAAAACAAAATTCCCAATGCAAAAAAAAAAAAAAAGCAATTCTATTTTCCTTTGTTCCAAGGAAGGGCTCGCCCGCCTTTGGAGCCGCGTGTTTCTATTTCTGCAGGATTTAAAAAAAAAAAGATCGTGCATGCAATTCAAATGGGAAAATATATATATATATCCTGGGCTGTGACGGACTTTGCTTCCCGAATTCGACAAAAGGTTGGCTTATATCTAGGTCGGTTTCTAGCCCAGGACAGCCACATTCCTCGCTAGCAGCAGAAGGGGGGAGGGGAACGGGGGGGAGGTGGTCGGAAAAGCGAGTTCGAATCTAAGCCTCCCCAAATACGAAGTCAGAGAGGCAAAAAAAAATAATAATCAAGTCTTCTGGTTGGACTCTTGAAGATTTTGCAAACGGGTCAACGCTGTTGTTTTTTTTTTGTTTAAAGCAAGAAGTGGGGAAATAGTTTTAATTTCTACCTGGTTTTCTCCACTTCGCACCAAGGCGGCTGCTGCTGCTGCTTCTGGCTCCTGAGCCCCGGGGCTCAGTTTTTTTTTTGCCCCCTACCTGGCTGCAAAACTCCAAATGGCCACTGGAGGGCGGCAGCCGACCCAAATGGGTCGCCTCTTTCTGCCGCCCTCTAGCGGCCGTCCGACTGTTTGCAGCTCCGAGCGCAGTCCAGGCGTATCTATCTATCTATCTATCTATCTATCTATCTATCTATCTATCTATCTATCTATCTATCTATCAACGTCCGATAACGGATATGGCACAAGGAGAAGAATCTTTATACACACACACACACACACACAAACACACGTATACACACTCTCCTCTTTTTTTCTTTCTCCTTTCTCTCTTCCTCTCTCTCTCTTCCTCTCTCCCTTTCTCTATTTCTCTCTCTCTCTCTTCCTCTCTTTCTTTTCTCTCTCCTCTCTCTCTCTCTCTCTCTCTCTTCCTCTCTTTCTTTTCTCTCTCTCTCTCTTCCTCTTTTTTTCTCTCTTCCTCTCTATTTCTTCCTCTCTCTCCTCTTTTTCTCTTTCTCTATTTCTCTCTCTTCCTCTCTCCCTTTCTCTATTTCTCTCCCTCTCTCTCTTCCTTTCTCTTCTCTCTTTCTCTCTATTTCTTCCTCTCTCTCCTTTTTCTCTTTCTCTTTCTCTATTTCTTTCTCTCTCTCTCTTCCTCTCTCCCTTTAGTTCTCTCTCTTCCTCTCTCTCTCTCTTCCTCTTTTTCTCTCTCTCCTTCTCTCTCTCTCTCTCTTCCTCTCTTTCTTTTCTCTCTCCTCTCTCTCTCTCTCTCTCTCTTCTTCTCTTTCTCTTTTCTCTTTTTTCTCTCTCTCTCCAGCTCTGGGTGGTGCAGATGATGCTGCGTGCTCGGTGGGGACCCAGAAACTCCGACCGGGGAGGAAGCCCCGAAGCCTCCCTCCCCCCAGCCTGCGCCTTTGCAGAGGACGCGCGTCACCGCTTTCCCAAGTGCTTTTCTGCAAGGCTTGGCTGACACCCCCACCCCCACCCCCACCCCCCCAGGCTTGGCTGAACTCACTCACACTTCAGAAGAGGTGCAGAGGATGCTCGCGCCGGCTCTCCATCGCCGGGTTGCTGCGCCACAACCCGCCAACCTCACCTGCGCTCACCTGCAGCCTACACCGGCAGCGCTGGCAGTCTGCCCACAGCCCATAAGCCCCCAGGGCATGGAGGGGGGGGGAGTCAAGAAGAGTTTCCACTCAGGCCGACTAATCAAGCCGGGAGGCGCCGATTCAATCCGGGTTAAAACCAAGCCGGGTCTTCGCGCGCTGCGCAAAAACAGCCCTTTGATCCGTTGGCGTGAAAGGGCTACTGCAGCCTCCTTTGCGCAGCTGATGCTTCTTTTGTTCTTTGGGGGAGGGCTGTGTGTGTGTGTTGTGTGTGTGTGTAAGAGGGGGGTGGAGTGTGGCTTAGCTAAAGCAATCCGTCTGGTTAACTCGCAAGGTTTGTTTTTTTCTAGCCAGGCGCGTGTATACATCATCCGGACTAGACTTGTGTTTTAGGGTTGCCAGGTCTGCTTCCAAAAAATAGCGGACAAGCGGGGGGGGGGGGGGGTTTAAGTAGTAAAAAAAAGTAGACCGTACAGCTTTAGATTACGTACCATTTCATCACAAAGCTTTTGAATAAAAAAACACTATTTTGTGGAAAAAAATAGTGAACATAATGTGAAAAAAGTGGACTGTCCGCTCAAATAGTGGACACTTGGCAACCCTAGCTTCTCTGCATCTTAGAATATATGTAGGTCTATGCGTAATTCTGTATTTTTATTTATTTTGGTCATGTTTGGGTAGTGCATATTGGAGGTGATGACCTTTTGAGAGCTGTGTGCAAGGAAATGTCATTTTATTGTATGCCCATCAGGGTACATTCAAAGTGACAATAAAGTTATTATTCGGTTCCAGGGGTCTTCAAACTTGGCCCTTTGATGACTGGTGGACTTCAACTCCCAGAATTCCTCAGCCAGGCACGCTAGCTGAGCAATTCTGGGAGTTGAAGTCCACAAGTCATAAAAAGGCCAAGTTTAAAGACCCCTGGAGTAATCTATTAGGAAGCCCAGTGCAGATATAACAAATGAAGATCAAATTTGAATAAAGCTACCTTCAGTTGAAGAAACTGAACTCTATTCTGAGATATTCTGAGACATGGGAAAAATTGCATATCAGTGGACTGAATACTTGCCTGTGACCTTGGGCATTTTTCCATGCTCTTATCTTTCACTTATAACATCAGAGACATGACATCTAGATCTTTTTCCATATTTTCTCAGCCACTCACTTCTATCCCCGGTTGGCTTTTGCTAAGAATAAAATAGAATAGAGCTGGAAGGGACCTTGGAGGTCTTCTAGTCCAGCCCCCTGCTCAAGCAGGGGAATCTATACCATCTCAGACAAATGTCAGCTTCAAACCTTAATGACTTGGGAGAGGATCTGCAAAGAGGAGTGTGACAAAATCCCTCCCGAGATGTGTGCAAACCTGGTGGCCAACTACAAGAAACGTCTGACCTCTTGTGATTGACAAGGGTTTTGCCACCAAGTACTAAGTCATGTTTTGCAAAGGGGTCAAATACTTATTTCACTCATTAAAATGCAAGTCAATTTATAACCTTTTTGAAATGTGTTTTTCTGGGGGGGGGGTGTTATTCTGTGTCTCACTGTTAAAATAAACCTACCGTTAAAATTATGAACGGATCATTTGTCAGAGGGCAAACATACAAAATCAGCAGGGGATCAAATACTTTTTCCCCTCAGTGTGAGTGTGTGTGTATACGTGTATATATGATGAGAGCTAAATAGCTCGAAATAGCTATACTAGCCTCCCTTTAACTCTTTGTTGGCAATCCAAATTTAATATAGAAATGATTTGTCGCAGTAGCGATTGCTGCCTACATACATACACACACATAAATACACATATGTACACACATATTTATATATCAGTGATTGCATGATGTCTGTAGATGCCAGCAAGAAAACTTCATTAAAAAAAAACCCCAATGGAAGTTTGATAAGATAAACCTTTGGTTTACTCAAGGCCTGATGACCCACTTAAGCAGCTGACTCATCTGGCTGAGCAAGTCAAAAGGGGAAACGGCAGATTCAGTCCTCTGAGGAATAGATCCATCTTCTGCAGGCAAAACAAATCCCAACGGAAGTTGCCCATCAAATAAGAACTAAATAAGAATGAGCAGGTCCCACTCTGCCCTCTCCATGCTTAATTTAGGAATGTCCATTTTCTTATATACTTGCTCTTAAGAGCTCTGTGCTCCGTGGACAGTCAAGCAAGTTTTTGCAGATTTCAAGAAGACCCCCGTGTGCTTTGCAAGAGCATTGGCGCGGATTGAAACTTATGTGTTGTAATTCCTCCCCAGCCTGTGGACCGGCAGCTGAGTCTGAGGAATCAGAGGAGGAGGAGGAGGAGGAGGAAGAGGAGGGGCCTGGAGTAACATCAGAGGAAGGCTCTGAGGAGCTCCAAGACTTACAGTCTAAGGAGGAGCCACCCTTCAACAGCATTGTAAAACCAAGATTTACAAGGCAGTTTGAGCATCTTTACAAAAAGTCCACTACTAACGACAGCACTTCCCATTTGAAAAATTTGTCGGATGAATTACAAGAAATAACGAACAAAAAATATACAGAGTAACAGCTTTACTTTGTATTTAACCATATAGCTATAAAATATTTAAATATGTAATATATATATTTCTTTCTCCCTGGAAATTTATCGTGGATCATCATGCATCCTCTCCCCCCATCAGTTTTCTAAGAGTTTTGCAACTACACATTTCCTCTGTTCGGCTGTCATATGTTCACAAGCTTCCAGAACGTTGGCTATTATTAAAGTCTGTTGAACTGTTTTGGCTTTTACCCAGATTCTTCCATTCATTCCTAACACTAGCTCAAAAGGATAAAGTTGTCCCAAATCCCAGATGATTTCACAATCGGGAGCCAGGAGTCTGAAATTAAAACAATGGGGAGAAAGGGGAAAAAAACACAACAGAAATCAATTCACGACATCAATCCGATCTCAATTCTTAATAACCGATTATTTTCCTTGGAGACCTAGCCAAAATCCTTGCTAAGAGTCAGACTGCTTTTTAATTTCTCCTTTTCTGCTGTTGGAAGAAAAGTCATGGTGACTGCTTTAAAAAGAAGATTGCAGTTTATTGAAGAGGAGAGCCAGACAGAAAGTTGGCTCTGGCAGAAAAGAGAGAAAAAAAGGGCTGAGCACATGCAGGGAGTGGGTTTTTATACCCTCTGGAGCCTTTTGTTTGGAATTGTTTCCTGTTCCTGTTTTGAGGCTTTGTATTTCCTGTGTCATGTATTCTGACCTGTGTCCCTTTGGCATCTGTGGGTTAATCCTATTACTGTCTTAGACTTTGGGTGGGTTATGTAGATTTTATGTTCTTTGTCTTCTTAATCTTCTAGCTTCAACTTTCCTGAATGGTCTGCATCTGCATTTCTACAGAGCTGGTTTCTGCTTGGGGGAGGGAGACTTGGGGCTATTAAGAAAACTGGGCATGCTTTTCTGCCTCTTTAAGATCTTTTGAGGAAATATATTTTTCTGCCCTTTTAATATTTCCTTCTCTGGGGGCTGACTTCCCACACTGGGAAAGCAGAATTGTTGTAAAGAGGCCTAACTCCTGAAGACTGTTGTTCCATGCAGAGATATAAGACGACTTCTATATAGCTTTTGGTTTGCGAGTTTTCCCTTTGTGTGTGTACGTGTGTGTCTGTGTGTGTGTGTCAGTTCAGAATAGCAAAACTCTTGAAAATCCTGACAAGGTATCTGCGTTGAAAAGAGCTAGTACTGATGGGGAATGAAATCTGTAAACATGTTGACAAAAAGGGAAAGAAACCAGAAGTAAAAAAACAAAAAAAATAATGAATCCAAATTTACTGTTCAGTTAAATGATGCAGTTCGAGAAGCAAAGAAATCTGAGTAAGAATTCCTTCACACCTACTTTCTTATTAGGCCTAGCGAGACCTTGAATAAGAAGCCGTCCTGTCCTATGATTCCCATGCCATTTGCCCGGCCACTGCTGTCTATGCAGACCATCTCAGGCTCCATATCTTTATTGGCCACGATAAACTGGCCATAAATAACGTCACCCACCTAAAGAAGGAAAGAAAAATCAACGCTCTCGGCCTACACCGGTTGGCAGTAGAGATTTACGTTTCGGCCTTTTTCACTAGACGTGCAAAGTGGCCTATCCTACACTCCCACGTCAGTTGTGTCCTCACCACTCTGCGCAGGACGACGGAGTAAGAACCGAAAGAATGAGCAAAGTACCCACAGGGTGGTCCCTGGTTCCAGATCAGCAACTTAACTACTAACCCAGAGTAACAAAAGAGCAGTCGCTGAAGGATCATCCGGGTTGGTTTGGTAGAACTCACTCCGAGGAGAGCGTAGCAAAGGTGCTCTTTCAAAAGGCAACTGGACGTTTTCTCTTATAGGATATCTTTATTCTCCTTGTGTATCTCACAACGAAATTAAGTGCTGTCCGCAGTGCGCACTACACACAAGTAAAAACATACATTATATACACACGTCCTTCGCATTCAATTCACCATTGCACTGCCCCTAATATTGCACTTCAATGTTGCGCTGTTCAGTAGTGTTTAATATGGTTACAGCTCTTGAAGACGTTTTGCTTCTCGTCCAAGAAGCATCTTCGGTTCTTGGATGATAAGTGCAAAGTCTTCAAGGAGAAATGGAGAAAGTCCAGTTGCCTTTTGAAAAAGCATCTTTGGGACAACCATGACCTGGATGACTGAGAATGCCCATAGACACTTTGAGGAAAGCGATCTTTTGTGTGAGAACAGAAGCATCACAACTATACAAAATACCCTTCACAGCATCTCCAGTTGACGTGCAACTCAAGAATGTTATCAGAAAAATCTTTTGCCCAGTACGGCAATGGTGGTTCTCATTAAACAGGGAAACCAAGTTCATCAGTTGTTAGAATTGACACATCGGTCAACAGACTAGTGAAATGTTGTCCTATCCTAACTTGATATCCTAAATCTAACAAACAATACCCCAAAGAAGTCAAAGGGAAAAGGGAAAAGAACCAGGGAGAGAAAGTAATGCTTTTATCAGCAATACAATGACTATGATTATACTTAATATTTAGCTTTCAGTCGACCAATAAGATGCGTTTCCAGTTCATATTCTCATACACACCCAGAAGATATATCTGGCAACTTGCTTGCTATCTCATATGCCCTTGACCCCCAAAGGTTTGCCTGCTCTTAAGGTAATGTCTTTGAAATTTAAGACATCCTAGTGACCCATAATATGAGGGTATTAAGAGTCGACCCCATTGAAGCTTCTTAAAATAGATACACCTTAGCGCAAGGAAATGACTCCAGCGGCATCTCTTTTGATCAGGATTAGAAGTATTGACCGAACACGTTCATTTTTTTAAATTTATTTCATGTCCAGATCAAAGCTTAAACTGCCAAAATGAGGCCACCTTTGTGGCTTTGTCATTAGCCAGAAAGAAACCACTTTTACAGAGCAAACCACTGGCTCAAACCAAGAAGCTAGATTAAACATTATTATTATTATTATTATTATTATTATTATTATTATTATTATTATTATTATTATTATTATTATTATTATTTTATTTATTTATTTATTTATTTATTTATTTATTTATTTATTTATTTATTTATTTTATTAATTGCATTTATATCCCGCCCTTCTCCTTACGGACTCAGGGCGGCTGACAAATTAGATAAAATACTAACATATATACATATTATACCTAATTAAAAATTTAATTAAAACGAAATATTTAAATATGTCCAATTAAAAGTAATTTAAAACCCCTCTAAAATCCCTTAGGCCAGTCCCGCTAGCTGGAACAACCACGTCTTGAGGGCGCGGCGGAAGGAAGGGAGATCAGGGATCACCCTGATCTCTGGGGGCAGTTCGTTCCAGAGGGTGGGAGCTCCCACAGAGAAGGCCCTCCCCCTTGGGGTCGCCAGCCGGCACTGTCTGGCTGACGGCACCCT